GTTTGTTTGTTTTGGGACAGGGTCTCACTATGTAAATCTGACTGTCCTAGGACTCACTAAGTAGACCAGGCTGGCCTCAGACTCATAGAGACCTGCCTGCCTCTTCCTCCCAAGCACTGGGGTTAAAGGCATGTGTGCACCACCATGCCCAGCCAATTCCGGCTCTGTCAGCTGCTCTCTGAGAGCCCATGGAAGCAATAGCTCTAACCTTCCTATCTCCCCACCAGCATGTTCTCCCCTCTTCATGCCAGGAAGAACCCCTTCTCTGGCCCAAATGCTGAATGAGGATCAATCAGAGGCACAGCGGGAGAAGTGAAGACGTTATCCACTCAAGAGGCCCTTGTGGCAGTGGTGGTAGGGGGGGTACACGGGAAAATGACACACAGGAGTCAAACCCCCCATAGCCACAGTCTAGGCGTGCCGTTTTACAGTCATTGCTTGGGCTGCTGCTCCATCCTAAATTCCCCAACTATAAAATGAGGATGCCAGTCCCCCCCACTAAAGGTCTCGTGGAAACTAAACAGGAGTAAGCAAGTAGCTTCTGAAGTCTGTAGTTTAATGTTGGCTCTCTCCCCCTCACCACTCCAGTTGAGCCCCCTGCCTGGCCTGCCGTTCTCACAAGCTTCCCGTCCCTGGGATGTCCAATACGGTGGCACGTCCGGTAAGATGACTGTCGAATCAACACAAGCTACAGGGGAAGGAACCGTTTGTTTGCGTTCCAGGGCAGGGTGGCGTGGGAAGGCCTTCCTAACCCACCCTCGTTACTGCCCCAGAGTTTTCCAATTGCCAATGCCAGGCACGTGAGGGCCTGTCTCTCCAAACTTCTCTGCATCTCCAAGTCCTGCTGTGGCTCAGAGTCTATATCCTCCTGGTCCTTGATCTCCCTCCACCACTTCAGTTCCCTGGAGAAAGGTGGGGACTCTGTGACGAGCGGTCTTTTGCACAGCCCCTCTTTCTCATGACACAGGCACCAGAGTCTATAAATGCAAATCTTTCCTTTCCTATTGCACAGTCCCTTATCGACTTTTCAGTATCCAGGGTGAAGCCTTGACTTCCTGGAAGGGCTCAGCTTCCTGTTTGGACTCTTGACTAATTTTCCACCTCTTTCACGTCATGGCATTTCAGACTGACTCCTGTGGACTCTAGCTCTTGTGGACCATGAACAACTATGAGGGGTTTCCTGGAGATGGTTCTTGTTTTCATCTTTCTCCTCTTTCTCCTTTCTCTATTCCCTCCCTCTCCACTTTCCCTCCATCCTCTTCTCCATCTCCTTCTTACCCACCTCCATTATTATTAGCTGTTGTTTTGTTTTGTTTATTTTTGTTTTTCGAGACAGGGTTTCACTGTGTAGCTTTGGCAGTCCTGGATGTACTTTGTTGACCAGGCTGGCCTTGAACTCACAGAGGTCCACCTGCCTCTGCCTACTGAGTGTTGGGATTAAAGGCATGTGCCACAACTGCCTGGCTCCCCTCCTCCTTTTTGTCCCACTCTTACCTTTCCCCTTCCTGGCTTTGGTGGTGCTGGAGATCACACCCAGGGCCTTGCACTTGCTCTTGCTAAGATACAGAGCTGAGCCCCCAGATGTGGGTAAAGCAGGATAACTGACTGCCGGGGGGTTCACCCTGGGTCTCTGGCTATCTCACTGTCTCACTTCTCTCCTTGAAATGCTCCCTCTTGCGTATCCCACACCACTTCTATTGACTCACCCTGGCTTTCTGCTTGAACATCCCTTCTGCAGCTCCTCCCAGAGTGCTATTCATCTTCTCTTTGAGCTCTGTTGAAGGCACTCTGCGCAAGGAGCCCTGGATTGCAATGGCTGCCCCCTCTTAGCCCCAGCTTCTCCGGCTCCTTAAAATCAGGAAAAGGTTTCTTGCTCACAACCACACGGTTAGGTCCTCCGAATCTGCAGCTTCTGCGGCTTCAGGCTCTGACATTACCACAGAAATAAAAACGCTGGGAGAAGTTATCACAACATTGTTGCCGTACATCCGCCATGCAGCCAGGCCTGCCATGGTTGTAACTGTACTGAGCATCTGAACTATCCTTTTTAGTCATTGTACAAAGGACACAGTAGAACAGCTACTCACATTGTGTTCGGAATTACAAGTCATTTCTAGAAATGATTTAAAGTATATGGGAAAGGCTGGAGACATAGCTTCCCCTAAACAGCTTGTATGAGACCTTGAGTTCAATCCCCAGCACTGACAGAAATAAAAATGAATAAATGGGAGGGGCTAGGGGTGTTAAAAACTTGGTAGAGTAGCCAGGCGCGGTGGCACACTCCTATGATCCCGGCACTCTGGGAGGCAGAGGCAGTTGGATCTCTGTGAGTTCAAGGCTATCCTGGTCTACAAAGTAAATCCAGGACAGCCAAGGCTACACAGAGAAACCCTGTCTCAAAAACAAAAACAAACAAACAAACAAAAAAAAAACCCCAACAGAACAACAACAAAAAAAGTTGGTAGAGTGCTTATCTAGCACTCACAGGGCCCTGGGTTTGACCCCCAGCGTGTCATAAACGGAGTGTGGTAGGCCACCACACCAGTGATTTCAGCACCAAGAGGTGGAGATAGTTCATGATCATCCTCAGGTACGTAGTAAGTTCAAGGCCAGCCCGGGATACATGAGACCCACTCAAACACAAGTAGATCAACAGAAATAAATGGGAGGCTGTGGGGAGGGTATAAGAAAACTATGTCATTTGCACATACACGGACCACCTTGGTGTCTGTGGGTGTCCTAGGACTGGTATTTTCTTCCAGAGCCTTGCTACCCCCGAGGTCTGTGCTCCCTTTGTTCCAAATGGAACGACTGTCCGTGAGGACACAGGCTCCAGGAAGAGGACACCCTTCCTATGGGAAAGACACAGATCTCAATGTGGAGTAATGCTTTAGTGTCACCCTAAGTGGTACAAAGTGATAAAGTGATTATTACAGATTGTGTTTTGTCCCAACCCATCATTTGGACACATAACACTTCATTCTGTGCCATCATTCCGAACCTCTGTTCAGAACCATTTTGTGTGTGTGTGTGTCTGTGTGTGCACGCACGCCTGTATTTCTAGGAAGAATTGTCTGGTATCACAAATGACATCCACGCTTGCCATCCTTTTCAATACTGTGCAACACACCTAAAATAAACAGCTTGCAGGAAGGATTCATTTTGGCTGCTGGCTTCAGAGTTTCAGTCCGTGGATACTTGGCTTCATTAATTATGGGCCCATACATGGCAAGGCAGAAGAGCATGGAAGAAAACAGAGCTGCTCACCTTGTGCCAGACAGGGCAGAGAGTAAGACAGGAAGGGGCCAAGGAGCAGTTCTGGGAACTGCTCCTTCCAGCCTGTCCCCCTGTCCTAAAAGAGCGCTCAGTATAAACTCTGCAATCACCCACTCCTAGTGCTCTCATGATGTAGTCACCTCCCACCTGGGGACCGATCCTTTATCGCATCAGCCCTGGTGGGGAGGGGTTCTTCCTTCATATTCAGACTTCCACAGCAAACACGCTTTTCCATAAATTACTCCACTTTACTCAGGAAACTGCATCATAGAACAGTAGTTTGTGGGGCACTGAGATGGCCGCCTGAATACGTGGTTTAGCGTAAAAGGTGTGCTACAAGGTAAGCCCACCAGAGACCACTGCACAACCCTCCTCAAGTCGAAAAGAAAGTCATTATTACTGGCTGGTCACTGCACAGGGAACTTGCCCAAATTATGCACAAAACCCACATCCTGCTTGTCACACTTTAGTTAGCAAGGAGCAGGACTACAGAAGCCAGAGAGCAGGGCTAGTGCAAGGAAGTATGGCCTAGGCCTTTGATGGGTTAGGTCTTTGTTTCCATATGGACAGCCATTGGGGCTCATGTGCTAGATTTTAAGATCAGAATGGTGCCTCTAACATGTCGTCAATTGTGTTAAGGTCTGGGGGCCTGTTACAGTAGCATTCCTACCTTTGTGGCAAACTGACTTTGTTTGCTTGTTATGTTTTCCAGTTACTCCAAAGCTCTTTTAAATTGCTTAAATAACAATTGTAACTCATCCAGACATGTGTCCTGTTACTGTTGGGGTGGGAGTTGATGTGTGTGGAGGCCAGGGAACACATTTCAGGTCATCAGGCCTACCCTACACAAAAACAAACAAACCAAAAAGCTTTCACTGGCTGAGCCATCTTACTGGTCCCAGCCCTCTATTCTTTTCCTCCATGATGCTGGTTATTTTCCATGGACCTACCCAGGCTTACTGCTCAGCCTTGCCAGCTCTGCTTTCGTGCCTCAGAAGGCTAGCAGCTAAGGGCTAAACCACAAGTGTCTTTGCCTGTACTTCCAGATAGGTTTTGCCAGGAGTGTGGAAGGGTATTTGTTAAGGAGTGTGGGTATCAGCTGCTTCCCTCCCCACATTCCTCTGCCACACATCTAGTCTGCCAGCCTCTCTCCCAGGGCCATAGCTGAGGCTGGATTCCAAGACTTTCACCCTCCCTCCATCTCTTTGGCCCAAAGGATGATAACGGTTCTCCCTGCTGCCAGTTCTTGGGGCTTCTGCATCCTGTCTTGATTCTCCTAATCCTGCCCATGTTACTGGCTGAATCATCTTCCCCACAGATCCACATGCTGGACTCCTAACTCCTGGTATCTCAGAAAGGACCTGCATTTGACTTGGAAGACGGCCAGAAGAGAAAGAGCTCGGCGTCACTGGCTGACGCATCATCTCAGACTTCCAGGATTCAGACTGTGCGCTAATACATTTCTGTTGTTGAAACGTCTTGGTCCGTGCTGCAGCCCAACACCCTAAGCATCTCCTTTACCAACTATTCAAGGAGTCTTGGGGTGTCATTCCCTTCCAGGACCCTGACTTTCCCAGTAGTATCACCTATAAGACCATCAAATGTCCCCTCATCAAATCCAAGGTTCTACTGCCGTATTTCCAAGGTTCTGCATTGGTTACTATTTCTGCCATTCAGTCTCTTTTCCTGAGATGCACAGACTCATAGGCCCATTCACAACAAAGTACTGAAACCAAAAGAGTTTAATGGACTAGCTAGAATCCAACTCTCAGCTGTGACGAATACCTGGTCATTTCTAGAAAAGCCCTTTTCTACCCTCAAATCAGCTTTGACTTTGGAACCTCCGAGGGGGATGACTGAAGCCCAGGGTGTTTCTGAAAGTGCTCCATGAGAATATTAGTTGCTGTTTCAGGATCTGAGAGTTCCATTGGCAGATGAAGAGGCCAGGAGAGACAAACTGGAACTTTAGGAGGGGAACTCAGGGACATCTAGGGAAGAAAAAGCACAATTAGAGGGAAGGTTATTAAAGCACCAAAGGAAGCCACACAATTATGGTTCTTATAATGATACGATGCAATGTAATGCAGTCAATAAGGAAGATGGGGATTTCTGGAATTCCCCAGTGTCTTCTATATCACTCCGATGCAGTCTTCACTTTGAACTACAACCAGCAAATTTTTACCCTCATAAAAGCTCCCACAAACTCTGTGTGTGTGTGTGCATGCACACGAGAACACTGAGTTCATTCCTCAAGAGCCACCCACCTTTTTGTTGTTGTTGTTACAGGGTCTCTCAGTGGTCTGGGGCTCATCAATTAGGCTAGGCTGGCCAGTGAGCCCCGGGGATCCACCCATCTCGACCTCCTGAGTGCTGAGATTATAAACACACACCACTGTCCCCTGCTTTTTACATGAGCGCTGAGGGTCAAATTCAGTTCCTCAAGCTGGCAAGGCAAACACTTTAGAGACTGAGCTATCTCCCCAATCCCCACCACAATTTACATGAACCTTAAGAAAACCATCAAAGAGAAAGGAGGGAGGGCGGCATTCACAATCTCCATTTTCAAGTAAGTGAAGGGAGGAACAAGCATGATTGCTACAGTCCACAGTGCACAGCTCCGTGTCACAGCTGGCACTGGAGACTTCTGTATCTTACGCCATGGAGTGCCAGCACGGTCCCCGAGCTTTTCACCCTATGCCTCCGCATGCACCGTCTCTAACGAGGCAAATGGCCCAGGTTGACCTCCCAACCCCAACTCACAGCGACAACAGATCTCTCCTTGACATCTGGCCGTGTGCAGGAAACGGAAGAGGAAGAGCAGAGAGTAAAAAGATAAGGCAATCTGAGCTTGAGGCAAGAGAGGGCAATGTGCTTTATAACATTTGCTTTTGAAGCCAGGCAGGTAGACCTCTGTGGATTTGAGGCCAGAGTGGGTCTACATAGTGAGACCCTATCTCAGATAATAAATTAAACTTAAAAAATGTGCCCTTGAGCCAAGCACAGTGGCATTAAATCTTAACTACCAGATGTCTGAACTTAGAGGAAGGAGGGACTGCTGAAATGTTCAAGGCCAGCCTGGGCTACATAGTTCTAGGCTACCTGACTCAAAACACGACCAACAAACACAAAAACCCGAAGCAAACAGTTTGCCTTTCCCTTGGCTTCAGTTGCACAGTGATGAAAGATGATTCATAGCATCCCAGCCCCCTCCCCCTCCCCACTCTGTCTTGACAGAAAGTGCAGATCACGTGAAGCTCTTAATCCATCTTAGGCTCTGACTCATGTGTGCGGGTTTCCTCTGAATCTTGGGGGAAAAAAAATCTCACTCTTTATTTTCTTTGCTTCATTAGTCAGTGGTTGCTGTCACTTGCTCTCCCCCCCCAGCTAACTTGTCCTGTCACCATCCCTCAAGGATGCACTGTGCAGAAAAGCACTGAATTCCTAACAGTTAACTCATCCTTCAAGGCCCACCTCCTCCTAAAGGCTCCAGTGTACAAGGTCTCATATAGCCCCGTTGGCCACTTTGAACTCTTGATCTTCCTGCCTCTGCCTCCCGAGCGCTGGGATTATAGGCATGCAAGGTCACTACACTTGGAGATCTAATGTATTATATCTGTTTTGACACACGTGTACAAGTGGAGGCCAGAGGTTGACATCAGATGCTTTCCTCAGTTGCTCCCCACCTTGACACCTTGATTTCCAAGGCATGGTCTCTTGTTGGCCTGGAGCTTGCTGATTCAGTTTTCTGGCTGTCCAGGAAGCACCACTCTTGTCTCTATCTCCCCAAAGCTGGGGTTGCAGTCATGTGCCATCATGGTCAACATTTACATGGTTACTGGCTTGGTATCAAACTCAGGTCCCCATGCTTGTATGGTAAACATTTTATTGACTGAGCCATCTCCTCAGCCCTGTCTTTGTGTTTTGGGATAAGATTTTTTTTAGAACAGCCCAAGCTAGCCTTGAACTTGCAGCAGTCTTCCTGCTTCTGCCTCCAATGCTGGGACTGCACGTGTGCATGAGCCTGCCTATCGTGAATGCTTCCATCAGCGGGATCCCATCACTGAGTCCTCCATCTTGGCCTTGACTGCTTGCTTCTTTCTACAGGAGTGTCTATACAGGTCCAGAATGTGGATGGTGATTTTCTCCCCAGAAAGGTAGACAGAACTAGGGCTGAAGTAGCAGGTAGCTAAGTTCCAATGGTCAAATGTGTAAGTGTTGAGGGTGGGAGCAAGGGGATGAGGGCATGGAGCCTTCTCCCATTTGATGTTTTCAGTGTTGTTTTAAAAATACTGTTGAGGCTGGCCTGCTCATGCAGGCCTGTGATCCACGCTCCTCAGGAGCCTGAGGCAGGAAGGTTAAAATTCAAAGTCTACCTGGGCAACAGAAAGAGCTCTAGGTCAGCCTGGGGAACTTAGCTAAACCTAGTCTCAAAATGAAAAATAAAGCTGGACGTGGAGGTAGAGTAGAGCTCTGTGAGTTCAAGGCCAGCCTGGTCTACAGAGTGAGTTCCAGGACAGCCAGGGCTATACAGAGAAACCCTGTCTTGAAAAACTGAGAGACAGAGAGAGAGAAAGAGAGAACACTCAATAGTAAAACACTTGCTGAGCACACATGAGACTCTGGGTTCTATCCTCAACACCCCAAAGAGGAGAACAAAAACAAAGCCACCAAACAAACCATAGAGCGATTGTTTCCAGTTGTTTTCAGATCCACATAAGGCAGAAGAATAAACTGGAGATCTCCCTTGTGCCCTGTCGGGAACAATTCAAAGCGCGGCTGCCTGTTGAGTGAGGACAAGGCCTGACTGTTGTGATAACAAGAACGGGCTAGTCTCCCCTCACCTGTAACACTCTCAGGTTTAATCCTATTACTGAGCCCTGCTTATCTGTCACTGAATTTGAGGAACCCTTTGCTCCTGAGCCCCAGGCAGCCACAGGCCTGGGCAGGCTCTTTGCTGCTGCTCTCCTTCTTCATGGTGGCAGGTCCCAGGGGCTCCCGCTGCCTCGCTCGCTCATGGTAGCTGTCACCACCTGTCCAGATGTTGGCTTTCTCTTTCCTGCTGAGAGAAGTTCTGGGAAGCTGGTTTTCTTATGTCTGTTTTTCCTCTCGTCCCAGAAAACAGTTACAGACCCTCTCCAGTTTAAGACTGGGTTTTTGTTTGTCTGTTTGTTTTTTTTTGGGGGGTATGTAAGTGCACATGGTGTGCAAGCGTACATACGTGTGGGTGCAGGAAAGTGTGTGGATGTCCATGTGGAAGACAGAGGACAACCTCCCGTGTTATTTCTCAGATAGGATCTCTCAACGGCCTAACACTTGCCTAGCAAGAGAGGCCCGGGAGCCCCTATTAATCTGCTTGTCTTAACACCCGATCCCCATTTCCGGGATTACAGTGTCCACCACCATGACCAGCCCTGCCCCACATACACCTTGCATAGGTGCTGGGGCTCAAGCTCAGGTCCCCAAGCTTGGAAGGCAAGCACTTTACCAATAGAGCCATCTCCCCAGACCCAGTCTAAGATGTTAGTGTCTGCTTTTTATTGGTGTGTGTGTGTGTGTGTGTGTGTGTGTGTGTGTGTGTGTGTGTGTGTATGTGTGTGGTGTCTTAGAGACAAAGTCTTACACTATAGTCCAGGCTGAATTAGAACTTCGCAATATAGCACAGGCTAGTATTAAAATCATAGCAATCTTCCTGCCTCAGCCACCCAAGGGATTACAAGCACAAGCCATATGATTTAAGAGAAAAAACAGGGAAGATATATAAAAGAGTAAAAGGTTTAGAGGGCTGGGTCTTGGTCTGCAACACCTGACTGTTGTTGAAATGTCCTTTATCCCAACACCACGGCTCCCCAAACCTCTTTCCTACTGATCTTTGCTACCTTGCTGTAAGATCCCCAAAAATGTTCACCCTCTCAAAAATAAACTTGGCAACAAGGAAAATTTTAGGAAGGTGACAGAACTCCTAACTTCAGGTGGTTCCTTTGAGCCCCGGACACTTGAGGCTGCTTCTGTTTTCACTAACCCTCCATCCTAAACAGGGCTGCTTCCCTAACAGGCATCTCCAACAGGGCCTTGGGGATTTTCCTTCCTTACTGTAAATGGAACTTTGTTTTTCTCATAGGCCACTTTTCTGCATAATTTAATATTCAAAAGATGAGAAAGGGCTCAATTAAACCTCCCACTCATTTCCTATGTTCCCCCTTACAAGGCCAACCAAGGCTATCTGTTGCTTTATATCCTTCCGAAGGTATTGTGTGAATCACAGTGCTCACAATAAATCTAAGTGCAAATTTACGATACACGTAAAATACAAGCGTCATCCATAGGAACACACACATGTCAACACATAAACATATGGTCAGATATTGTTGCTCTCTTTCAAAAATGCTTTTGTTTCTTTTTTTGAAGATTTAATGCATATAATTTATTTTGATCATATTCACCCCATCTGCCCTCCTTAACCCCTCCTACTCCCTCTGAAACCCCCTTTTCCCAGTGTCTCCCCCCTAACCTCAAGGCTTTTACATTTTTATTATTATAACTCTCTGAGTTTAATTAGTGCTCACTGGAACGTGGGCAACTTATCAGTGGCCGCACCACTGAAGAAAAATGACTCCTGCTCCCCCAGCAGTCATCAGTGCCAGCAGCTTCCTAGCTAGAGCTGCGACCGAGCAAACCCATCCCCCACTCACCACGCAATGTGGCCCCTTTTTCTGTGGGTCTTGTGCAGTTAACCACAGCTGCTGTAAGTTCAGCCTTTCCACAGTGGGGTTGCTGGATTTGGCCTCCTTCCTGGCAGTTGGTACCTAGATCGTCACAGCTGGATCTACTGTTCCACCTGTTCTTCCTTCTGAATTCTAGCTCCTCCATTCAGACCTCCTCAGAATGGGGTCCACACATCCCTCAGACCTGCCATGTCTGCTGAGCTTCTGGCCTCGGTGAGTGAACATTGGGACAGTTGCCTACCCCAGATAATGATTTCTTCCTCAGC